GTTAGGTGCCGTCAAGTCGATTCCAATTCATAGTGACCCCATATGACAGACTAGAGCTGCCCCATAGAGTTTTCTAGGCCGTACTCTTTACGGCAGCAGATTGCCAGATCTTTATCCCGAAGAGCCGCTGTTTGGGTTTGAAGTGGCAACCTTTCGGTTAGCAGCCGAGCACTTAACCATTGTGCTACCAGGGCTCCTTCGGCTTCCAAATCGGTGTCCCCAAATGGAGACAGGGGATCGTCAGGCTGGAGAAATGAAAGCTGAGGTCTGACCAGGGCCTGGGTGCCACTGCTCAGACCTGGGACTTGTCCCACAGGGCTTGGCAGCCAGGATCAGAGGGAGCTGCCTTCCCCATCCCTCACTCGGTGACTCCCACATCCTGCTCCCTAAGCTCCCAGCCACAGCTCCTCTCCCCCACTGCACACCCACAGTTCAGATGCCTGTTACCATCAGTGGGCACCTGGTGCCCCTGCCTCCCGCTGCACTGACACTGTGCTTTGCAGAGGTGTGCCCTGCCTCCCGGTGCAGCCCTGATGCTCCTGGAGAGCAGGGCAGGCCCTAAGCTCTGCTGAGCCTGGTCTGCACAGCACGTACAGAAAAGGAACAGACGACCTCGCAACGCCTAAGACAGAGCAGGCACAGAGGGTCCTCTGGAGTTTAGCAGCAACTTGTCACCATAGCCAATAGCAAAATAGGATTCATGTTGGATAGATAAGGCATCAGGCTGAGAGTCAAGAGGAAGAGTGGGCTCAAGGAACGCCAGGATGCCACATAACCAGCTAGCTCTTCTGGGCCTCAGGCCCCTCATCAGTACCATGTGGGAGGTGAGGATGTCTGAGGATGCTTCTGGCTCTAAAATTCTGATTCAAGTCTAGAATTACAGAGAAGTGAAAGAGGAGTCCCCGGGTGGTGCAAATGCTTAAAATGCTCAGCTACTAACCAAAAGGTTGGAGTTCAAGTCCACCCAGAAGTGTCTCAGAAGAAAGACCTGCTGATCTACTTCCAAAAAATCAGCCATCGAAAACCCTATAGAGCCGTTCTACTTTGACACAAGTAGGGTCGTCATGAGTCAGAATCGACTAGACAGCAATTGTTTAGTTGGAGCAGTGAAAGAGGTGAATACCTAAGCCACTTTTTCTATCATTCTCCCTTCCAGCCCTTTAGCACAGAAGAAATTGAACAAGATCTTGGGAAAGGGGAGGCAGTGTTTGTGCCCAGGCTTGAATGAGAGTAACACCCTGTCCTCAACCTCAACTCAATTTGCAGGAATCGACCTGGCAAGACACATTCCAGACCCAAAAACCAATGACTTTCAACACCAAACCAAAGTTACATAAAATAGGAGATTCAGACATTAGGTAAGACCCTTTTGGCCCAGTTCAGGATCAGATCATGTGGACAGGGAGCAGCGGGGTGACAGACACTGTCTCATCACCCTCTAAGGCTAAGGTTTCCATGCTAGCCATTTCTCTTCCTCAAATCCCCTCTCCCGCCCCAGGCCTCTGCAGACTTCTGCTGGAGCCCTCTGCAGTGATTCTGGCTGTGAATTCAGGAAACAGCATGGGTTCCAAATCTGGGCCTCATCCATCTCTGAGGCTTCTCTGCTGTTGTATGGGGCAGGGTGGGCAGCAAGGGGCAGCCCCATGTGACACAATCGCCCCCACTTTTCCTTCCCCATGAAGTGGGTCTCTTGAGAAAACAAGGCAAATTCTTCCCCTACAGACAGCAGAACACAGAATCAACAGCCAGCAACAGCGAGCAGTGTTTGTATCTACCTGGTGTCTGGGACACAGCCCGGCTCCTGGGGGCCTGCCAGGCTGGACTATTGTCTGGTACTGTTTGCCTTTGGGGCAATGGGTGCCCTGGGGTGGGGAAGGAAAGAAGAGGCTGAGCTGGGGGTGAGAAGCAGGGCACCGCACCAGACCAGCATCCAGCCTTGGTGTACAGGCTGCAAGACTATGACAACAGCCCCGAGCAAGGGCTGCTAGGCTCTGCCTGCCCACCTCCTGTCTCCAAGCTCAGATGACCCCTACCATGGCAGAACTGCTTCTCGAATCTAAACCAATTCCTCAGAACCATTGTCCTTTCCCTCCCAGGCCTCTCTGCCCTCCTGCCTGTGCACACACACACCCTCCCCTTCATCCAAGAAAGTTCCTGAGGACAGAGAGGTGGTGCCATGCTGCCTCTGAGGATGCAAAGCCCTCCTGGAGGAGAGCTGAGGACCTACCTCGAGAGGCCTAGAGCTGGTCTGCACAAGTGTTGTAGGTGGCTAGGGTTACAAAGTCTGGCCTTCCCCCAAACCGCAGCCTTTGGCTTGTTTGTCCCTTAAACCCACCTCCTTGGTAAGTGTCTCCTGTCAATGCTGTGTCTGACTGTCCACCCAGAATCACTGAATACCCCATCAGCTGCTTTCTAACTGAATAAGGCAGCATGGGTCTGGAGCCCTGGGGTCTAGGTCCAGCTCTGTCACCCAGAGCTATGGGGCCCTAAGCAAGTCCTCCTGGTGGCCTTCCCATGTGTCACATGAGGAGATGGATTCCTGGATCTCTAAGGCCCCTTCTAGCTCCAAAGTGCCATAACCCTACAGAGAGAGATTTAAACCCATAAAATCCACTGCTGTCAATTCCAACTTATAACCCTATAGGACAAAGTAGAACGGCCCTATAGTGTTTCCAAGGCTGTCATCTTTACAGAAGCAGACTGCCACGTCTTTCTCCCACGGAGCAGCTGGTGGATTTGAACCACCGCTCTTTCAGTTAGCAGCTGAGCACTTAACTACTGCACTACCCCAGCTCCTTTTGAGAGGGTCTTATGCCCTCCTAAACAGCAGGGTGGACCTTGCTACTACAGAAATGCAACAAGAAGGATGCAGGCCTTTGGCAGAGGCAATTCAGGCCACCAACTAAAACATGGCTCTATTTAGGTGTTTACATCTCACTGTATATATACCCCACTTTGGAGTATGTACCACACTTTAAGGTATATTACACTTTTTGGAGTATATTTCACACTTTGTGCATATACCACACTTTGGGGAATACACGTACTTTGAGGTATATACATGCTTAGGGTACAGGCACGCTTTGGGGTATGTGCACATTTTGTCTATATATACACACCTAGAATAGACGCTATACTTTGTGTAGACAGCATCCTTTGTGTATAGGTCTCTACTGGGAGCCTCCTGGAAGGGTTAATGCTGGTAATTCTGGGAAGACAAAGCTCTGGGGTTAAGACTACAGACCCTCGAACCAGATAAAGCTGGATGCAAATGCACTTCCACCACTTAGTTGCTGTTAACCTTGAGCAAATTCTCTGATCCTCAGTTTCTTCACCTGTAAAATGGGGATAATAGTAGTACTTACCTCATAGAGTTCTTAGGAAGATTAAATGAGACAGTGCCTGTAATGGGCTCACCACATTGCCTAGCACATAAGAAACACCTGGTAAAGGTAGCATTGCTGCTACTCTGTTAAAGGTGAGTATTTTATAACGTACATGTCTTTAGTTAAAAAATATATCTTTAGTTAAAAATATATATACATTAAAATCATATGCTCCCAGAGTCTTAAAGTGTTTGAAAACTCAGATAACAGACAGGACCATTTGATTCATATTTATTTCACATTTGGTCTGTAAACTTTTTTATTTAAAAAAAAAAAAATCCACTGCCAGTAGCAACATGTGCTGACGTTAGCTTTTCTTTAGTGAAATAAGAGCGCAGGCCTTAAAGAGTCTCTGTCTAAAACATGTAGAAACGCAGATGTAAACACAGGTCTCCACCCTCCTACCCTGACTTTGCGAGTTCATCAGTCAGGTGATCTCAACCAGAAAAGCCGAAGGGGGAGAAAAAGACAACACTTTTGATACCCAAGAGCTCTTGGGGCAGGAACTGTACAGTTTGGCAGGCCCATTTGTCTTTTCTAACTGTTTACCTTGGGCAAATTACATCAGGTTTGCTTCTTCCACATAATTTCCACTCCTCTGTGTCTAAAAACAGCTGCTCAAAGATTTCCCCGCAGTCAGCACTTTCAGGTAGGGAGGGTTGCACGTACATACAAGATATAAACAAACATATTCTTCAAGCAGTGGCCCCAAAGGGAGGGAGGGGGCACCAGAAAGAGAGGCTTTAAAGTGAGTTTTTGGGGCGAGCGGTGCATCAGAGGAGAATGGCTTTGTACACAGGACCCATGCGAGGCGGACAGGTTCATTTACTTCTGTCTTGATCCATCATTGTAATGTTTACATAGCAAAAGGCAATTATGCTGTTAGGCACAGGAAAAAATGAACAGAAATATTTTCCCCGTCAGGATACCTCAGAGCAGGTCCAGCTCCAAGAGACAGTCACCAGTTGTTGGCGGAAAAGGACAGAGGGACTGTAATAACACTAGAAAAGGGCTTGCATTGCAAAGACGCTCGGCCTGACTAGAGATGTCGTGTCTGCCTCGACGGCATCTCAGACAGCCAGGATTCCAACATCAAAAACAATGCTAACCAGCATGGGGGACGAGCGCCCCGCCCCATGTACTATCAAAAATACTGCATATTTACAGTGGGGGTGGGGAGGGCAGGTAGGGCTGCCCTGAGCATGTGTTAAAAAATAGAAAGGGGGGAGGAGATTAGTCAGGGTTGGGCAACCACTATCCATTAACCCTTTGTGAACAATCGCCCTCTGGGTTCTAGTGCGGCTCTGAAGAGTTGTGAGAACTGAATTGGGGGAGGGGAGTGAAATACCTTTAGGAAACAACACTGATTAGGGGCAGCCCAAGAGGCTCCCAGTGAGGAGCGGCCCCAACAATGGGGTGGCGGCGAGTTGGCCCTCTCGGCCAGTACTTTTCCCTGGTAGAGAAGAGCAGGTGCCCGCAGGAAGCCGCAGGGCAACCCTGCAGGGCAGGAAACGCAGGACCGGGGTTCACAATGCCGGGGCTGCGTAGAGGCACCCCTGGATCTTCGCTTTCTGAAGCCGGCGAGAGTCTGTGCGCCGGGTGCCGGCCGGGCGCTCACACGATCCGCTTCATGTCCCCCCGGCAGAGGATCTTCTTGAAGGCGCGGCGGAAGTCGTGGTTGAAGATGGTGTAGATGACCGGGTTCAGCGAGCTGTTGCAGTAGCCGCACCAGAAGAAGACCTTGAAGAGCGTGGGAGGCACAAAGCAGCCGACCGCAGTGAGCGTGTAGGTGAAGAAGAAGGGGAACCAGCACACCACGAACACGCCGATGACCACGGCCAGCACGAACGTGAAGCGCTTCTCGCGGTTCTGCCGCCCGCGCCAGCGCGACGCCTTGGCGCCTCTGCCGCGATCCTCCCCGGGCCCGGCTGCCGGTGCCCCGGGCCCCGCCACTCCCGGCCCGCGCCGCGGCAGGCTGTCCCCAGGCTTAACCTGGCTCGCCCGGGCCTTGCCGTTGGCCCGGGGCCCACGCTTGGGCCTGCGGGGTCCCGGGGGCCGCTCGGCGTGCTCGGACGAGGAGCTCTCCTCCAGGTCCAGCGCTTCGGCGTCGCGCGGCCCGACCGGCGAGGGCTCCCCCGGAGCGCCGTTGAGCTGGACGGGCAGCGGTTCGTTCTCGGCGCCTGTAGGGCCAGCGCCGCGCTCTGGGCCCATGCCGTTGAGCCTGCGCTCGGCGCCCCCCGGCGGCGCGGCACCGGCGTCCGGGCCTCGGCGGCTGGGTGGCACGCGGGTGCGGCGCTTGGCAATCTGGTAGATGCGCACGTAGACCAGGATCATGATGAGGCAGGGCGCGAAGAAGGAGCCGATGCTAGATGAGATGACATACCACTTCTGGTCATTGATTTCGCAGCGCGGCACCGCGGGCTGCGGGCCGCCGCGGCCGCCCTTCTCGAAGGAGATGAGCGGCGGGAAGGAGATGACGGCCGAGATGACCCACACGGTGACGATGATGGCCTTGATGCGGCGCGGTGTGCGCTTCAGGTTGTACTCGATGGCTTGCGTGATGGACCAGTAGCGGTCTAGGCTGATGGCGCACAGGTGTACGATGGACGACGTGCAGAAGAGCACGTCGAGCGCCAGGTAGATTTCGCACCATGCCTTGCCAAAGTACCAGTAGCCCATGACCTCGTTGGCCAGCGAGAAGGGGATGACGAGCGTGGCCACCAGGATGTCGGCTGAGGCCAGCGACACCAGGAAAAGGTTCTGAGGCGCCTTGAGCGCGCGGCTCGTGAACACTGCGATGATGACGAGCACGTTGCCAAACACGGTGAGCAGCATGAGCAGGCCGGCCAGGCACACCAGCGTCAGCGTCACCTGCAGAGAGTAAGGGGTGGCCCGAACACCGCCCCCCGGCGCCTCGGTCCCGTTCCAGCTCGAGTTGCCAGCGTCCGGCTGCAGGGAGCCCATGGGCGCGAAGCTGCCCTCAGCCAGCGGCTGCTCCTGGCGGAACATGAACGCGGCGCCGCTCGCCTGGGCCTGGTGCCAGCTGCCTTCCGGCCGGCGCCCGTGGGTCCTCCTCTTCCTCCCGCGCCCCGCTCGCCCGGCCGAGCTCACATGGGGAGGGGACCGCAGGGGGACCGGGCCAGAGTAGGGATGCCTAGCGGCCCATGGCCCAGCTCCAGCGAACGGCGCCCGGCCCGCGTCTCGGGCTTTCGGGTGGCGCCTTCTCGCTCCGGGCTGCTAAGCACCGCCAAGTTTTATTCTAAGCGGCGGGAGAGAGTAGTGCGAGCGGGCGGGGAAAAAAGGTTTATTCTTCACAAAGGGAGAACAAAAATCATTGGTAGTCTGATGACTTGGAAGGATGACAGGAAATTAAAAATATATGCATATTAATCTATGTCTTGACTCCTGAGCGAAAGCGAGAGGTCTTACCGTGTGCGCGCCCGCCCCTACCCCGGGAGCAGCCGAGGGTGCTGGTGCGAGTTCGGGTCCTAGGGCTGTCTGCTTACATCCCCAACGCGATTACCGACTCTTGCCTCCCCTAGCAGCGGCACGGTCGGCCGGGCCGGGGCGCGGACTCTGCCGCCTCTCGGAACGCCGTGGGACTTCCCAAGTTGGTCGCCTGCTGGGGCCGGGGCGCAGCGCGCTGAGCTCGGGGGCGGCGGCGGCGGGTGGTGCGGGGTGTGGGGGCCGCATGAAGGCGCCTGGTCCACAGGCGGGCCGGGGCAGGCGGGCGGACGAGCGGACTGCCGGCCCTCCAAGAGCCGCGGCCAAGCAGGGGGGGCTCCTGGGCGTCGGCCCGCGCGCTGCGGGCGCGGAGCGCGGCCGGTTGGCCAGTGTCCGAGGGCAGCGAGCTTTGGGACGAGAGCGAAAGGCTGGAGGACAGGAGCCGGGATGGCCAGGCGGCGCGCCGGCGGCTGGGCGTCTGCACCAAGCGGAGCAGCGGCTGCTCCGCCGCGCTGGAGGTGGACTCGCTTTATAGCCCCGGGATCAGGCCGGCGTTGCCGAGCAGCGGCGTCAGCCCCCACGTGGGAAGCCGACCCTCCCCCTCCCCTCGCGCCGCCCAGCCCCGCCATCGTCTCGCTCCGGCACCCTAGGCAAGACCCTGGTAGCTCTGAGCCCCGGCGGGCGGCCTTTTGGAGACACGGCACCTGGAGAGGGGTTTAAAGAGCGTGCACCGGGAGTGGGAGCGGCCCCGACTGGGAATTGGCCGAGAAGCCCCGGGCCAGCCCATCAGAGAGCAGTGGGCACCGGGAGTCACCCCTTGGAGCTTTGTCTTGAGAGGAGGGAGTGTCGGGAACTCCCCCACCCCAGCACGTGAATCGGGAGGGGCAGCCTGCAGGCCCGGCCGCCCTTGTCCGCTGGTGCCTGGCGGACGGGGCGCGCGAGGTCCTTATGGGGCGCGGATTACTATCGAGCCCCAGAGGCTGAACGAGCAGCACCCAAGTGGGAGATGTCCCGCCAGAGTTCACAGCTCCGCTTGGGGAAAAGGCAGCAATGTGTCCGCCCACCGCAGAGCTGTCTAGGGGCCACGCACAGCCTGGGGTCTGGGCCGCGCCCCCTGTGACAGCAGAGGGGAGGGGTCCTGCAGGCGGAGGCCGCGCGCGGCGGCAGAGCTAGGGCGCACTGACACCTGCTGGCCGCTCGCCGTCACCGCTGGAAGCTACCGGTCCGCTCCGGACGCCTCCTCCTGCCTCTACGGTTCTCTACCTTCACGCCTTCTACCTCAGGACAAGTTTGGGTTCAAGCTTGTGAAAGGACAATCCAGGATTTAAAATGCACTTTGTCGTGTTGCAGAAATCTTCTTGAAGTACGTACCCTGTGTGTCTATCTCCGGCGGAGTTGGGGTTTGTCTGATCGAGTCACATCAGGAAGGCGTCGGCAGACCCACAGCCCAATTCTGGCATACCACCCTGAGCCGCACAGCCCACCCTTCCCTCAGACCCGAGAGGCGGGGATCCTGCCTCTCCTCTCCAACTGGTCCCAACTCTGGCCTGCTAGGACCCGTGAAGTCTTTGTTGAGGCACAAAAGCTAGACTCCACCCACTACCCCACCCCCATTCCAGACACACACACACCATCTTTCAGTAAGCGGAGGATGCTGGCAAGAGAAGAATATTTTTCATATTCTGATAGGAATAGCATGGAGATGGGGATGAATGGTAAGTTTTTGTGAGCCTGCGAGATGTCCGATGGTAGATTTTAACAGCGGTTTCAGTACCAGCTTGCACTGAGATATCTGTACTTTTCAGATGAGCAGGCAGGCAGTTTAAGGGTAAGGCCCAGGAGGACAGGAAATGTCAGCAGGAGAGAGATTAGATATAAAGAAGAACTTGTCTTCTTTAAGTAACTAACAAGCCAAAATTCCTTATGTAATCACCTAAACTGGAAGTTCCCAGGATTGAACAAATCACCTCTCTGCCCAGCAAGGTGCGGGTCAGGTCTGGCTTGGGCTGGAGACTAAATTAAGGACCTTGAGCATCACCTTCAAGCCCAGCTGAGGTCCACAGCCCATACCAGTGATACACATTATTGATGCTGCTGGTTTTGAAAGCAGATACTCTCAAGAGCTACTTTTCGCCAAAGTACTTCACAAATGTCTTCTTTGGCTTCAGTACCCTTATCTCCCAATCTTTGCCCCAGTGTGACGACTTCCCCTTCCAGTCTTAATTCTAAGAACTGTTCTCTTTTCTGGGGAATCTAAAGAAAGTTGAAAAGGCAGAAAGTCATCCCTCTGTTGAGTCCATCATTTCCCATCTTCTCCTCGAATGTCTGCCTGGAGAATCTTGGCAGGGGGAAGGGACATAGCCACTCAGCTCAATTGGAGATGTGACTGTGCTTATTTTTGCCCAGCAACCAGGAGCGCCAAGCCTAAGTGTCAATGCTAAGGGACATAAAAACCAAAGCCCACAGCAGTCTGGGTTTCACCCTGTTGTTAACAGGATTTGGAGACTGAGTCTCCACACCAGCTGCTCTCCTTCCTGGCCAATTACAGAAGCGAAAAGGGGAATGAAAACAAAGGTCATGATGCTTTCTGCTCTTGAAATCACTGCTGCTAACCTGTGTGTGACACTTCTTGTCACATTTTCTAAAAGCTTCCCAAACAGCCGGCTGGGTTCTTGATTCCTGGATTTGCAGGCTTTTCTCCTTGAATGTAAACAGCTCTTTCCAGGAGCTAGGGGCCCTGAGGTCAGTAACAATGATCATGAATAGTGATAACATCCGCCTTTTGTTCAGTACCTAGTATGCATCACGTTGTTAGTTGCCATCAAGTCGATTCCAACTCTTAGTCATTAAGTCTGCAGTGGGATCCGGCAGGTGTGTTTTAAAACAGCTCCTGGGGAGAGATGCTGAGATGCACACTCATGGTGGGGGGCGGGGACAGGAGTAATGAACACGTGCCTTGGTGGGGGTGGGGGGTGTCCAAACTACCTGGGGACTATTATCAAGCCAACCTGAGCTAGAAAGAATGGGCCTCACCTTGAGAATCATTGCCGTAGTGGGCCAGCAGGACTCCTAGGAGGGTGCCATGGCCCTCTGGGGAGCTAGTGCAGAATGAAGTTGAGATAACTTGGAGGTTGGCTTCAATGGTCTGAGAAGGAGTAACCTCTGGGCACACAACTGGGGGTCCATTATTATGACTACTGTTAGTAAGAATAAACACTGTTCATTAGTATTGACCACATATCAGGCACAATGCTGAGCAGTTTACATACTACACACTATGATATGTAATTCTCAAAACAACGCTCTAATGTAGATATTGTTACTTGACTTTACAGATGGGAAAACAAGGCTCAGAGAAGTAGGGTAAATTGCCCAGCTGATAAGTGGCAGGGTCAGCTCTGGATCCCGTGCTTCCTGACCATAAGCCCAACGAGCTGTTTAACTCCCTTTCTCCTCAGAGGATCTCTGCCCTATACCAACTGTCACCACTGACAAGGAGGACCCTGCAGGAGCCTCATCAGAAAGGAGAGTGGTGGCAAGTTGGCAAGTCCCCTAGATTGTCCGTTCCTCCCAGTCCATCCATGACTATTAGCACAGGAGGATGGCACAGGGCAAAAGGTGTGCCTTCACTCTGTATCTGATGCTACTGTGTTACTGGAGGTAACATCAGGCACACTCTACACAAGACTGAATAGTTTCCGATGATGAACTTAATGGAGAGCAGGTACTACACTAATTGGTGATACAGCCCTGGAGCTGCTGGCCTCCCCTCTGTAGAAGGCAACTTCTCTTGCTCATGGGGGCCCGTACATATTTCTTCCAATGCTTTGGTGAACCTTTATTGCATTTGCTTACCTGTTTATTTGTCCTATGCTCTAGTAAGGGGAAAGGACTGTCCTGTTCATCTTTGTATTCTGAGGGCATACCTAAAATGGGCTTTCTAAAAATCAAATTCCTGGACCTGCCCCTTGGAGATTCTGGTTCAAGACCACTTGCTTTTTTTTTTTAAATTGTACCTTAAGTGAAAGTTTACAATTCAAGTTAGTCTCTCATACAAAAATTCATGCACACATTGTTATGTGAGACCCTAATTGCTCTCCTTATACTGTGACAGCACACTCCTCCTGTCCATCCCTGATTTCCCGTGTTCACTCAGCCAGCTCCTGACCCTCTCTGCCTTCTCATCTCGCCTCTGGACAGGAGCTGCCCATTTAGTCTCATGTATCTACATGAGCTAAGAAGCACACTCTTCACGAGTATCATTTTATGTCCCATAGTCCAGTCTAATCTTTGTCAGAAGAGTTGGCCTCGGGAATGGTTTTAGTTCTGGGTTGACAGTCCAGGGGCCATGCTTTCTGGGGATCCTCCAGTCTCAATTAGACTATTAAGTATGGTCTTTTTACTAGAATTTGAGTTCTGTACCCCACTTTCCTCATGATCCATCAGGGACTCTGTTTTTTTTCCCTGTCAGGGTGGTCATTGGAGATAGCCGGGCACCATCTAGTTCTTCTGGTCTCAGACTGATGCCATCTCTGGTTTATGTGGCCCTTTCTGTCTCTTGGGCT